TCAGTCAGTGAGACAGTCAGTAAGTTAGTCAATCAGTGAGTGAGTGAATCAGTTAGTCCTTCAGTCAGTCATTGAGTCAGTCAGTGACTCAGTCCTTCAGTCAGTCAGTGAGACAGTCAGTAAGTTAGTCAGTGAGTGAGTGAGTCAGTTAGTCCTTCAGTCAGTCAGTCATTGAGTCAGTCCTTCAGTCAGTCAGTGAGACAGTTGGTAAGTTAGTCAATCAGTGAATTAGTCATTCCTTCAGACAGTCAGTGAGACAGTGAGTGAGTCAGTCAGTCAGGCCTTCAGTCAGTCAGTGAGACAGTCAGTAAGTTAGTCAATCAGTCAGTCAGTGACTCAGTCCTGCAGTCAATCAATGAAACGGTCAGTAAGTTAGTCAATCAGTGAGTGAGTGAGTCCATTAGTCCTTCAGTCAGTCAGTCAGTCAGTCAGTTCTTCAGTCAGTCAGTGAGACAGTCAGTGAGTCAGTCAGTCATTGAATCAGTCCTTCAGTCAGTCAATGAGACGGTCAGTAAGTTAGTCGATCAGTGAGTCAGTGAGTCAGTCTTAATAGATTCATCCTTGTGACTCTTAAGGATCGCTGACGTTCGTAGCCGCTTGGCATTTCTCCGGAGACAGAAAAACTGTGCCGGTTTCCCTGGAAACAGTTTGGAGAAAGCTCTAAGAAACAACAGGTAGGACTGTCTTACAAGCTCTAAAACTGAGTCTTGCCTGGACCATGAAACCTGGTCTAGATTCCAAAAAGAGTTCAGCAACACACTGGATCTGGGTTCTGTTTGGTTTTCAGACCATCTTTAGGAGAAGTTCTGAGGTGGGCCGAGAGTCTGGAGGCTCTGCTGACCAATCAGTGTAAGACTTCCTGTTTTCTTTGAGCCAATAATTTGTATATGGAGAACCCAGTCAGTTTTTATTTGTTTACATGTCCGGTCTCTCTCGTTCTTCTTGGTCAGATGGTGTGGCAGTGTTTCGTCACTTCCTGAGGTCAGAGTTCAGCGAAGAGAACCTGGACTTCTGGTTGGCTGTAGAGACATTTAAGAGTACACGCCCCTTTAGTAAGATGGCTGCTAAAGCTGAAAAAATCTTCAATGAGTTTATTTCCTCCAACGCAGTGAGACAGGTAACCTTTCTGTCATCGTTTCCTCTGACTGATCTAAAAACCCGTCATGTGACCACAGCTGTTTTGTCTCCAGGTCAACGTGGACTCATTTGTCAGGGAGTCGACCAATCAAAGTCTGCGTTTTGAGGTTAACCCCGCCTCCTTCCAGCTGGCTCAAGATCAAATTTTTACCCTTATGGAGACAGACAGTTACCCACGATTCCTCAGGTCCCGCCTCTACGCTCAACTGGCCAATCCAAAACTAGAGACGACCTCAGCGCCGTCCAATCAGGGGAGGTCAGTCAGCCAATCATGAGAAGGGATGAAGAAAAGAATGAGGTTAACCAATCAGAACGAGTCCCTGACTGACAGGATGTCTTTTCAGAGAACAGCCGGCCAATTAAAGGGACGTTTCACCAGCTGCATTATGGGAAATGTAGGATGTGCTCACATTTAGCCTCCAGTGTTTAAGTGCATATGTTTTCAGACACCTGAAACATTTTTTTTTGATTAGTAACCAATTCATATCATCAATTTTTCCCACTGATCCAATATGTGCTCTCTAATAAACTTTAGTTTAAGACGTGCCAGATTTAATGAAGCGTGACCAGTTTGTGTGGAGTCCACACAGAATCAGACGTGGATGTTTCTGTCTGACGTCCACCTGATCGATGTTTGTAACTGGAAATGTTTGTACGGCTGAAAATATGTTGAACGCTTTGATTCCTGGCGGTCTCGGTGGATTTTATCTTCGTCAGTCAAGTCAAAGCTTTAACCTCAGATGGAGAAAAACAATAAATCCCCCAAAGAAGAAGAAGTTTTATCGCAGATTCATCCAGAGGAACCAGCAGACCGGAAGCTGTGACGCTCGAGCATTTCATTAATTTTATAACTTTTTAACAAACTAACTGAAGTTATTAACGTGTTGTTGGAGTCACGGCCGTCATTCCTTTAACTAAAGGTCACTGAACACCTGTTGCTCACCTGTTCAACCAACAGGCGAGACTGTTTTACAATAAAACATGTCATTGTTGGACCCACTGTCTGTTCTGAGGTTCATTGTGTTACAATAGTCCCTCATTTTTCACGGGGGATCCTGAAGATCTGTGATAAGTGAAAAACCACGAAGTAGGAATAGTACTACAAGTAGTAAGTAGTAGTTTATCTTATTATTTATAGATGTATACACCTGTGTATATATAAAGGTGTTTTAAACTCTTCCCACACTCTTGCAATATTCTATAAACAATGTTTCTAAACTCTAAACGCTCTGTAAGAGACAGAATGTCATGATTTTCCTCTCTCTGCCTCTGCTGCTCTTTGCCGCCTGCAAGTGCTCTTGGCCACGCCCATTTCTCCACTCTGCACGGAGATCAGCTGATCAGCTGCAGCAGAAGTTTATCCTGCAGTGTGGGATTAACAAAGGTGCAGCAGGTGCTAAATAATTTAAAATAATTTTGTTTAAATAAATTCATGCTGATCGTGCGGCTCATCCATCAGTCAGCCAGTTGTGGGTCATGTCCAATCTTATTTTGAAAAATCGCGATAGAGTAAGTCCACGATAAACGAACCGCGAAGTTACGAGGGACGACTGTATAAAGTTTTGCTCCTTAAACGCTCCCGTCCACAAGTTGGAGACCACTGAGCAACCGCTGATGGACCAAAACCTGTCCAGATCGCTCAGCAGTCTCTGAAACCCTGATCGCACGACTATGGGTGCTCCCTGAGAGACCAACTGCAACAAAAGAAGGTTTGAACATGAGAGTTCACGAGGTGAAACATTAGAAATCTTCAGGAGACCTGTGTGATTACTGAGGTCTTCTTGGAAGACCGTTTGTCTCAGGGTATAAATATCAGCAGTTTCTGGTGTAGAGGAACAACATCTTTAATACCAGCAAAGTCCATGTTCAATAATCCAGGTATACAATCCAACAATTTTCAGTCAGGTCATCTGGACAGTGTCTTTAATACTTTAACATCTTTAATACTTTGTGACCTCGGTCACCAAGCGCTCCTCCAGAACCAGACCGTCTTTGCTCTCATCACAAGAAAGATGCAGAAACAAAGTGGTGGGTCCACCTCTGGCTGGTCCAACAAAGAAGGTCACAGTTTAAGTTTTCATTGACCTTCTTTTAACCGTTGATGCAGGAAGCTCTGCAGTTTTAGTGCTTTTAGACCTTTCTGCTGCCTTTGATACTGTGGACCACAACATCTTGTCACGGCTTGAGCAGGTGGTTGGTATCAAAGGCACAGTTTGATCCTGGTTTAGATCCTACCTGACTGACAGAAGTTTTTCTGTTCATTTAGGGGAATGTTCTTCATCTCCAGCTCCTCTGATCTGTGGGGTCCCTCAAGGGTCTATTTTAGGTCCACTGGTTTATAATCTTTACATGTTGCTGTTGGGGTCCATTTAAAAAAATGTATCATCTCTTTTCATTGTTTTGCTGATGATACTCAGTTATATCTTTCCATTGAGTCAGACAGGGTCAGTCCACTGGATCAACTCTTGAACTGTCTAAATGACATTAAAGTCTGGTTAAAACTAAATTTTCTGAATTTAAATGAAAATAAAACAGACGTCATCAGCTTTGGTAAATGTAACACTCCTGACACTCTTGGCCCCTTGGCTTCATACAGCCACTCCACTGTCAGGAATCTGAGAGTTATTTTTGATATCCGTCCATCCGTCCATCCATCCATCATCTTTAGGCAAAGGTAGAGAGCTGGCTGACATGATGCAGAGAAGGAAGGTAGATGTTTTATGTGTCCAAGAGAACAAGTGGAAGGGCAGCAAGGCTCGCAGCATTGGAGCAGGGTTCAAACTGTTTTACTATGGTGTGGATTGAAAGAGACATGGAGTAGGGGTGGTCCTGAAGGAGGAGTTGGTAAAGAATGTAGTAGAGGTGAAGAGAGTGTCAGATAGGATGATGTGTCTGAAGGTAGAAGTAGAAGGTCTGATGCTAAATGTTGTCAGTGGTTATGCTCCACAGGTTGGATGTGATGTGGAAGAGGAAGATACATTTTGTAAAGATCTGGATGAAGTGATAGAGAGTATTCCCAGGGAGGAGAGGGTGGTGATGGGAGCAGACCTGAATGGACATGTTGGTGAAGGAAACAGAGGATGAGGAAGCGATGGGTAGATTTGGTGTCAAGGAAAGAAACCAGGAAGGACAGATGGTGGTGGATTTTACCAAGAGAATGGAAATGGCTGTAGTCAACATCTATTTCCAAAAGAGGGAGGAGCATAGAGTGACCTATAAGAGTGGAGGAAGGAGTACGCAGGTCGACTACATTCTGTGTAGAAGAGGAAACCTGAGGGAGATTGGAGACTGTAAGGTTGTGGCAGGGGAGAGCGTGGCCAGACAGCATCGGATGGTTGTGTGTAGAATGACTGTTGTTGTGAAGAAGAGAAGAAGAGTTAAATCAGAGAAGAAGACCAAATGGTGGAAGATGAAGAAGGAAGAATGATGTGATAAATTCAGAGAGGAGCTGTTAAAGGCTCTGGGTGGTAAGAAAGAGCTTCCAGATGACTGGACTGCTACAGCAACAGTAATTAGAGAGACAGGTAGGAAGGTACTTGGTGTGTCATCTGGACAGAGAATGGATGATCAGGAAACCTGGTGGTGGAACAGTGAAGTGCAGGAAGATGTTCAAAGAAAGAGGTTAGTCAAGAAGAAATATGACAGAGAGAGGACTGAAGAGAGGAGACAGGAATATGTCAAATGAGACAACTTTAAAAATTTCACTAGAGCCTGATTTATGTTTGGACAGTTTTTGTCCTGTTGAGCTCTGAATTGTCAAAAATAATAACCTCATCCAAACCATCCACATGCCTGCTAGATCCCATCCCAACCAGACTCTTTAAAGAGCTATTTCCACTAGTTAATGTCCACATTTTGGATCTACTTAATTTGTCTTTAATGGATGGTTATGTACCACAGCGCTTTAAGGTTGCTGTAATTAAACCTTTACTTAAGAAGTCTGATCTTGATTCAGAAATCCTGGCCAACTATAGATCTATATCTAATCTAACTTTCATCTAAAAAATTCCAGAGAAACTAGTTGCAGGTCAGTTGCGTGAACATCTACAAAGAAATAATCTGAAGAGTTTCAGTCAGGGTTTAGAGCTCATCATAGCACAGAAACAGCACTAGTAAAAGTCACTAATGATATTCTCATGGCCTCTGACAATGGACTTGTGTCTCTACTGGTCCTGTTAGACCTCAGTGCTGCATTTGATACAGTTGATCACAATATTTTACTACAGAGGCTTGAATATGATGTTGGGATTACAGGAACAGCTCTAAAATGGTTTAAATCATATCTATCTGATAGATTCCAGTTTGTAAATGTAAATAATGAATCGTATTCATACACCAAAGTTAGTCATGGAGTTCCTCAGGGCTCAGTGCTTGGGCCAATACACTTTACTTTATATATGCTTCCATTAGGTAAAGTTATTAAACAACGTGGGATAAATTTCCATTGATATGCTGATGATACACAGTTATATTTGTCCATTAAACCCAATGAATCCAATCAGCTACTTAGACTACAAGCATGTCTTAAAGACATAAAAACCTGGATGACCCTTAATTTTCTCCTGTTGAACAGACAAGACTGAGGTTTTGGTTTTTGGACCTGAGCACCTTAGGAATGAATGTTTCAGTCTTTCTCCCTCCTTAGATCCATTAATCTGTCCTGCAGCTCTAATGTTAAAAATCTTGGTGTTATTTTTGATCAGGACATGTCTTTTATCCCCCACATTAAAAACGTTACTAGAACCTCCTTCTTCCACCTGCGTAATATCACTAACATTAGAAACATCTGATCTAAAGATGATGCAGAAAAACTGGTCCATGCATTTGTCACGTCTAGACTGGACTATTGCAATGGTTTATTATCTGGGTGTTCAAATACTTCTTTAAAACGTCTTCAGTTGATCCAAAATGCTGCTGCCAGAGTCTTAACTGGAGTTACTGGGAGAGATCATCTCTCTCCAGTTTTAGCTTCTCTCCATTGGCTCCCTGTCAAATCCAGAATAGAATTCAAAATCTTACTTCTAACCTACAAAGCTCTCAACAACCTAGCTCCATCTTATATTTCAGATCTTATTGTTCCATATTTTCCTAACAGAGCTCTTCACTCTCAGACTGCAGGTTTACTTGTGGTTCCTAGAGTTTACAAAAACAGAATGGGAGGAAGATCTTTCAGTTCTCAGGCTCCTCTCTTGTGGAACCAACTTCCAGTTTCTGTCCATGAGGCTGACACATTGTCCAGTTTAAGACTGGGATTAAGACTTTCCTTTTTGATAAATCCTATAGTTAGGGTCAGCTTGGGTTTCCTGAGCTGTCCCTTAGTTCTGCTGCTATAGACTTAGACTGCTGGAGGACAAACTGACCACACTTTTCACTCTGCTACTGTCTTTACTTACTCTGCTCAACCTGTTTGTATTTGTAATTTTTTTTCTATCCTTAACATGTGGTTTTTGTCTTTCAGGTACACCTGGACCTATATCTGGACCTGGACCTATATCTGGACCTGGACCTATATCTGGACCTGGACCTATACCTGGACCTGGACCTATATCTGGACCTGGACCTATATCTGGACCTGGACTTATACCTGGACCTACCATTCTGTGTCCATCTGTCTCTCCTTCCTGTCCTCTCAACCAGCCGGTCAAAGCAGATGGTCTCTTGTCCTGATCCTGGTTCTGCTGGAGGTTTCTTCCTGTTAAAGGGAGTTTTTCTTCCCACTGTCTCCACTGTGCTTGCTCAGGATGGGAGACTGCAACGAAGCCAAGATTCAACTTGTCTGCTGGATTCTTAGATAGAGAACTTTACTAATTGGCTTTTATGCGAATGTTCCTGTAAAGTGCCCTGAGACAACTTTGTTGGGATTTGGCGCTTTATAAATAAACTGAATTGAATTGAATATAACGAGATGGGACGTAGAGCAAGGAGGGAAGTAGCTAAGACAAAGCAGAAGGTGTATGATGAGTTGTATGGGAGACTGGACAGTAAAGAGGATGAG